AATAATAATAACAAACATATTTGCAGGCAAAACAGGTTCGGGTAAAGCCCTGCGGCCGAACAAGGAAGCTCAACAATTAAAGAGGACTGCCCAATACATGAGATCAACCCCAGCCCACTTCAATAACTTTCCCTTTTCCAGTCATCTGGACATCTTCCGCCGTCAAAGTTGCCACCCACCGCCGCGGTGGCAACCCCGATCCATCTACTTTGACATGAAGATGTTGTATTAAAAATATGAATGCGAGACATGATTTATACATATGTTGAAGAGTAGCCGAACTCATTATTTTTTGATTGGGAGATTGGACTCATCATCCAAGCCCAACTTATTAGATTTTCTTTATTTTTATTATTGACTTTGATTTATGTTATTTTATTAGGATTTTATTAGTTAGTGGTTTTTAAATTTAAATTTGATTTTGATTAGAGTTTTATTATTTATATGTAATTTTCTTAAACATTATCATAAATTTGATGAATTAAATAAAATTTACAAATTTCTTCTCTTTCTTTAACTTCTTTTCTTCTAATTAGGCTTCAAATTCCGCATCACGTTGTATGATTGAACCTCTTATACTACGACGAGTCAGTCATATGATGTTTGGTGTCCACGAAGAAAACCTGGCTTTTGGAGGTTCAAGAATTGTCATTGAATGGATACAAGAATAATATAGCCCTGGTATTTTACGCAGTTTCAAGAATCAGTGCTCTGATCCTGGTCCATTTTTTCTCATGTGCTGTGTATGATTAGGCTTTTCTTGTCTTGTGTCAGAATTATTGCATTTTAGGTGAATTTAGAATCTTGTGACAGCTATTATTTCAAAACATCCACAGTCGTCGAGCATCATATATAGTGTTAGGAAAGGCTGGCCTTTTCCATATAAAACAAATATTGAATTGGAAACTACATTGAACATTGAAGGAGAACTTTACCCCCAAAGTTTGGCCAGTTTCATTGAGAAATTGCTTGCATTTACATAACCTGTTGATTTCAATTAAATTGCTCAAATATCTTGAATAGCTATAAAATTTCCAACCTTGCATCCTAATTGCTTTTGGTCCTCATATTGACCTGGAAGAGAGTGTGCCCTGCCTTCTTGACTTGTTTATGAACCTATCAGAAATACAGAAAGAGTTTGTGTTGTTATTTTCTTTTCTTTTCTTTTCTTTGGGTTTTTTCTTTTGCCAGTTTAAATTTTCTTTAGTTTCTTGGTATTATGCTCTGCTTGGTATTTTCTTTTTTATTCTTGTCAAAAATCAAGTTGATAGAAATTATGCTCTGCTTCTTGGTATTTTCTTTTTTATTCTTGTCAATCACCTCACTAAATATAAACTAGTCAGTTTTAGACAGTTTACACGTAACTACCCTAATTTACCATATCGTCTTTATCATTATGAAGCTTTATCTTACTATCTTGGAGTGTGCCCTGTGTATTTTGGGATGGTAGGTTTTCTTCCTGAACTTGTTCACCCATATGGATCTGTTATTCAAGCAGTGAAGAGGGTTGTCTTTTTCTGGGTCGAGTCATGTCAAACTGAGACATATTACGTCATTAGATGTGGCATTTTTATCAGAAATGAGTTAGTCTTGCCTGGATTGTTTGAGGGAATATTTCTACATGATCCCACTTTGTCCCTGTCAATCAAGTCGCGGGGTATTGGACAGAGATTGCTGTGCCTCGTAAAAAAGATTCTAGAAGTTGGACATCACTTAATGAGGCAAGTGTTAGGTGAAGAAAGCAATTATGTCTACCACTAATGAACCATGTGCTTACATTCCCTGTTTGCCAGATGTGAGATGGACCTGAATTTTCGTTTTTTTGTTTGCTATTGTGTTCATGTAGATGTAGGCCTAGATAAGAAGCTAAACTTTCTGGAAGTTAAACATGATGCGACAAGTTGATAACAGTTGTGAACAGTGATTTCTTTTTCTTTTTTATTATTCTCTAGTCACTTGACTCCATGAAATCTACCTAAGACTGGCTTTTCATTTGTTTATCTGGATCATTAAACAGTTTTGACGATTCTGTATGGTCATGACCCTAAGTGACTTGCAATTTGAAGATTTGTGGACCATTTCTTCTTTCGAAGATGGATTATGATGTTGCATATGCTCCAGTGAAAGATTAATTACTGAGGGCGAACTCTCTTGAAAAAGGATGAAAATGAAAGCATGCCACTTTGTTTGTCGTTACACTTGAAATGGTTCCATTCTCTTCGTTTTCCTTCGCCATTCTTGATGCAGTGACAAAAGATGGAATTGCTTCTTTTCACTTCTAAAACAATGAGTCTATGTGCAGTCTGCCGATGAGCGTAAATGGTTTTGTTTTATCTGTACAGGGAGCCAAAACCTTTTGAAGTTCCGAAAAAAGTGACTGAACCTTGCAGCAAGAACAATTTCCAGAGGATTTTATTCTCTCAATGAAGCAGCGATATTCATTACTGTTTTGAGCATTCATTTATAGAAGATGCCTGCATCATTAATGTGTTTGTTTCTTTCTGTGCATGGATTGTTATTTTAACTTTGCATTCCGAGAGTTGCGAGTAGTTAGCTGATTCCTTTCTCTTCATATCAAATGCATATAAAAATGTAAATAGATTAATGACACATTGCTCGTCATTTTGGCTTGTGTTTGACATGAAATTGCATCAGTATTATATCTAATTTTTTACTTCGCTGGGATGGTGAATCGTTTCCTTTTGTTTCTCTTTTCCTAATTCTTGAGGCCATATTCTTCTCATCTTCTTTCCATGCTATTGGCTGTGTGAGATCTCCTCTCTAATGGGTCCCTCTAAAGAATAATAATCGATGAGAGGCACCTTTGCTTAAATGACTTTTGATCCACCAGACCTTCTCTTACTGACCTAAAAAAATACGGGGCCCGTTTGGCATCATCCCAGAATCTCCTTTACCTGTTGTGGAATAAATTAAAGCAAGAAAGGAGCCTTCAAGTACAGCAGCTGGTTAAAGAGAAAGGTACTTCAATAACTCTTACTTCTTTTCTTGTTTTTCAAACATTCGGGCCACATATCATGAAAACTTTCTCAATAGTATTTAATCCTTTCTCCGACTAAGAACCATGAGACTTGCCACTAATGAATGAGTAGAGTCTTAGGACAGAAGCAGATGCTTGCTTAGGAAGGACTTGCTGTTAAAATGGACCTACCACTACATTGGATCCACCATATTGGTCTTCTTGTTGAAGTTTTTATTTTCATATAATGGAATGATGGTGGTAGTAAAAATACAATCACGGTAGTTTTTCACTCTTTCCTCGCTGTAGTCTGTCCAGAGGCTGTTGATAAAAATGGCAGGCCGAGTCAACTGTTTGAAATCCTTAAATGTAGCAAACAAATATACTATACATGTCTTCTACACTCTCTGTTAATTAAATAAACATAGTACTGTTGCTATTGTAATTGCATGTTTAAAGTATTGCTTTAGTATCCAACATTCTACACCTTTGAATCCAGGGAAAGCGATTAACGCACCAAGCTAGACATACTGATTATATGGCACCGATCAGATGGCAGTTCTTTGGAGATCAATCATTGGATTTTGATTCCAGTGATCAAAGCTCTAAACCGCAACCCAAGAAATCCAAATATCGATCTGATTTAATCGACTTTTACGATTTGTTGTTGGCCATTTTGGCTTCCCTTTTTCTTTTTCTTTTTCCTTTTCTTTTCATTTCCTTTGTTTTCTTTTATGGGTGAAAATTTCTTTTCTCAGTTTCTGCATGGATATGAACTACAGGCTTAAAGCTAACATTCCCTTTGGAGTATATTTCTTTATTTATTAGCAAGAGACTTTTATGCTGAGCAGTCCAGTCCAGTAGATTGTTTTCATATTACAGAAGTGTGCTGCTGCCATAAATATGCGGACCTTTGTCATTTCATTTTGTCCATGCATTTGTGACTTTTACAGTCACGTACACTCGGGGAGAGTGTGAGAGAGAGACAGAGAAAAATAAACCTTGTTGATTCATGTCAACAAGTAGCACTGGATGGTTGGTTGTGTTGCTTTTGCACCACAACCACCATGAGATGTTGGATCAGTTTCAGATTGTTGGTCGTGTTGCTTTTGTATCACTTCCATTTAAGCCTATTGGTTTAGCTGGTTGTTTCCTTTAACATGCCATAACAAGATCGGCAACTTTAGTTTTCCTTTTTGTGTTTCAATTTTATTTTATTTTTTTGAAGAAAGGAAAATGTATTAATTAGTAAGAACATGACAGGATTGGCTGTGGAAAGAAAAAGAAAAGGAGGGGTCAATCAGTGCACACGAAAACTCAATTTTCTCCAGATGCTTTCTTGATTTTACTCGGATTCCTTTGGATAACTCTGATGCAAGGAAACAAAGATTGTTTGGCTTGAATATACTTAAAAGGGGTTGGTTTTGATGATGGATGGTACGTCTCGTGGCGTTAGCCGTATGTCGAGCATGTAACCAGCTGGCCCTGTATATGTATAAGATTCCCCCCTGTTGCTGTAAGCAGATAAACTTGCACATTTGTGTCTCTTTTTGGCTCAATTTTTGTTCCCATATAAAAGATATTGCATTAAGGGCTGATTAAATTTGTATAGTTTATCTAGTCTTCGTTATAACAAGATGGCTGATTTGATTCTCTTTTATAGGGCACTTGTTTATTAGAAAAATGAGGCGAGGTTGGGTCCTAAAATCTAAGGTTAGATTCTTTGATTCCTTCAGCCCTATAAAGAACAAAAAGAATCTGCCAATCACAATACAGCCTGCTCAAAAAAGAAAATAGGAAAAGAGTGTAAAATTAAAAGAAAGACCCATTTGGCTGTCCCTTTCAGTCACCAAAAGAAATATCCATTATAACAAATTCCCATCAACGTATTTGTTTTTCTTCAAAGCTTCTCAGAGTGTTAGGAAAGTTGCACCCATTCTTCATCATGGTGGGGCTACCTTACTCAGCAGGGAATCAAGCAGAGAGAAAGATTGAGAGGGGAGGTGGGAAAACAGGAAGATAAAAACAAACCATACACTTTTCTTCTTTCTCTCCTTTTGAGAGACTCAAATTGAAGTGTGTTGCTTTCTCTGTTTCTGCTGCCTGTGAGATTCTCTCCCTCTCCCCTTTCAAGTCAAAGAAGAAAGAATGAAATTTTTTAAAAAAGAAAAAGTTAGTATGAAATGGGAGCTGGGAGAAAGGAAGAGCCACAGCTCATAGCATATATTCCCTTCCAACATAACCCCACTTATGTTTCTAGATACGGAGTGAGAACATCGAACAGCCCGAGTACTCCGAAATTATAAAAGAGAATCACACAGCTGCCACAATTTCAAGCATAGCTGGAAAGGATCATAACTCATATTCATGTTTCAGCCTTCCACTTGTCTATCATTCACCAAACAGAAATGGGTCTGCAACATCAAAGTATGAACTTGGTTTTGTCTACTGATGCCAAGCCTAGGCTAAAATGGACTCAAGAACTTCATCAAAGGTTTGTTGAAGCAGTCAATCAACTTGGAGGTGCAGATAGTAAGTATAAGTATTTCTACGACCTCAATGACCTTACTTGTCAATCTTTTGTAACGAGCTCAAGGTTTCCTAAACTGTTCTGTGATTATATATGTGCAGAGGCAACACCAAAGAGTCTGATGAGGGTGATGGGGATTCCTGGACTTACTTTATACCACTTGAAGAGCCATTTACAGGCATTTTCTCTCCAGAATGATCAGATCAGCCTATGCTATTATAATGCAGAAAAACAAGATTGTGATTTTATGCTTGCTTCTTGATGCAGAAATACAGGCTAGGGAAGAGTCAGCAGTCCCTGATCAGCATTGAAAGCAAGCAAGAAGGTGATTCTATATTATAAAGAATCAGATTGATAAACTGTGCATAGTTAGTTTTTCTCATTCATGTTCTACCAATGGAGTGTTGTTTTATAGTTCTTTTTGTTGCAGATGACAAAGAGATTCAAAGTAGTGATGATCATTTCAAAGAGTCTGCAGTGACTCGAAGTAGTAGGGGGATCTGCAGTGATGGAAACCACCATCCAATTAACGAGTAATAGTTGACATAATCTCCACCTGCTTTATGATGAAATTCTATAGAGATAACAACACAAAAGCTTTTTATTTACTCAAAGTGCTATGTTCAACAGAAGCTTTCAGATTGCACAGGCTCTCCAAATGCAAATGGAAGTGCAGAGGAAACTTCATGAACAGATTGAGGCAAGACCAAGAAAACAATTCCTTTCTTCAAACCTCTTTCTCGGTCTATTTATCAGAACATTCGAATCCTGTTTAAATTTTTATTGCAGGTACAGAGACATTTGCAGCTGAGAATTGAAGCTCAAGGGAAATACTTACAGACAGTATTGAAGAAAGCACAGGAAACTCTGGCTGGATATAATTCTTCTTCAATGGGTATAGAACTTGCAAAAGCCGAGCTCTGTAGATTAGCCTCAATGGTTAATAGTGGATGTCCAAGTTCTTCAATATCAGAACTGACAGAAACAGGAGGTTCAATCTTAAAAGAAATAGAAAGGACACAAATGAGGAATACAGTATGTTCAATGGAAAGCTCCTTGACATCATCTGAGAGTTCTGGAAGAAAGGAAGATATGCAAATAGAGAATGAGATTCATGACACCAACAAGTCCAATACAGCCTCTGTTGAGCTTCCTTTAATGGATATTCACCCCCAAGAAAACCTATTGGATAATGGTTCAAGTAATCAAGGGAAGAAGAGGAGAGGTAGTATCATATCTGATGGTGTTTCTGTAGAGCAGCCCCTGGCTAGAAGATTGAAAAATGGTGATCAGTTGAGGTTGGGGACATTTGATTTGAATAGTTAATATCAACACGAGATTGAATCAGCTTTGAGATGAATAGACTTAAAGTCGCAGGGAATTGAACAACTCAACGGGGTGCCTTTGGAGAATCTCAGGACTTTATACTGGAAGGGTTCTTATTAATATAGTCTCTGCAGGAAAGTTACCTGATAGAGTTAAATCTTTGTTTATAAACTATGTATAATTGGTATATGTATGGACCCAAGAACATTTTTAAAGTATATCCATATATATAAAAAGATGGTGTAATATATATATATATATATATATATATATATTGTGAATACATCTCCTGGAAGTTTTTCTAAGACAGTCTCTCTCTTAGTTTTTCTTTTTTAAGTCTAACCATTTAGGGCATCGTTGGCTGTGTTTCATGTAACAATACTAAGTTCTTTCCTGGTTCATTTCAAGGAAAACCATCCACACAACACTTGGAGTCTGGTATCCTCTTGCTGGATTTGAACCCAAGATGACAACCGAGGGCCAGCTACCAACTTTAGCTAAATATTTACACTTGGCAGTTCACTTAATGAAATATCAGATGCGCTGTGTTCAACATGTATGACTTATAACTCCAATTTTAGGAAATTGACCGCGATTCAACTTTTCAATCAGTTTTGACTGTGAATCATGCTTCTCAGGATCACTCCAGTGATTACTTGGGACTTCCACTAGAATTGGCAAGTGAGGGAGAAGGGACGGCCAAAAAGGCATGCATAAAACAATAGAAAAACAAGAACAGCCTAGAGCGAGAAATCATTATTGCTGCAAAATCATTAAACATCCAACAAAGAATGAATCATTAGCCAAACCATGCGTAAGATTGATTATATTAACGTTCAAGGAACTTCAATAAATTTATTTGCTGGGCCTGAAAACTCAAATCATTAACCAACCCACACAAGTTAATATATGCTGCTAACGTTTCTCCTCCTTAACCAAGCCCTGGGGAAAGGAAACCGGAAGATCGAGAATGGAGCTCCCACACATTATTTACAGCTATTGTCTTTTCACAGATTTTCTATTTCTATTTTTGTTAAGTTGTCCCGTTCTTTTTCATTGATACAAGGCATGCTACTTAGAGAAACAGGTTCTCTAGTTATGACAGCTTCCATTTAGAAGCCTAAAATTCATGCTAATATCTTCTTTCTCTTTGGTTCATTGTTGAAAAAAATAAGAACAGCCTACAGGAAGAAATCAATATAGCAGCAAAATCATTAAACATCCAACAAAGAATGAATGATTAATCAAACCATTGATTCTAATAGATTAAATCTGTTTCCCTCATCGTAGGCAAAAGCCTACCGTACATGAATTCAGACGTTGCAGAAGTCTCGGGCTAGTCATTTGATTACATTGTTGAGGGTGGAGTCTAGAATTGTTTCTAGACCCAATGAATTGACGAAAATTCAATTTGCTGTCAAACCTGGGTTACTTGAAGCTGGAGTTCTACCTTATATTGGATGTCCTGGGAACATATACAGAGAACAAAGGTTGGAGGGTCTCTGTTTGATAACTGTCGGAAAAGACACTTCGCAGCTGATCTTTTGCAGTCAGGCAATCCACATAATATCATAGTTCTTCTGAATGCAACCATAAAAAAGCATCATCTTTCATAAAAATAGTAAGCAAATATCTCTAATTAAACACTGGTTTTCGCAGATCATAATCGCTATTATGTAAAAGCAAATGTTTGGTTTTTTGTTTTTCATCTCATAATAATATTACTTGGACAGTCAATCTCTTGAAGCTAGTAAGTTGTTATATTTAAATGATGCAGGTCAAAGAAACGAGAGCATAGCTCATGGTATTAGGTTCATCAAGAGCTATGCAGCATAAATCAAACTTACGAAGCTTACCTCAACAAGCCTTTGAATTCGGTTCAGCAGGGTGATGTTATTTTGTCAGCAGGAGCATTAGGTAGTCCCCAAATCCTAATGTTAAGCGGCGTTGGTCCAAAAAACAATCTTGAGAACTTTGGGATCCCACCTTGTGTTAGACTTTGAAGGGGCTGGACAGGAAATGAAAGAAAATCCACGCATTAAAGCAAGCACGAACACAGATTACCAATTTTCTAATGTTCTACAAGTCGCGGGCGTAAAGGAAGACTTCATATTCATACGCGAGGGAGCAATCGCCCCAACTAGCTTCAATGCATCAACCATAGTCATTGCAAGCAAGATTGCTTTCCCAAAATCAAAAGGAGAGCTGGAATTGAACAACACAGATCCTAGGAAAAGACCCTATAGTGGAATTCAATTATCTTGAAAACGAAGTTGACTTGGAAGAAGAGCGTGCTGAGACGGCTCAATTGCTTGAGAAAATAGCGATGTCGATGTCCATTACACGTTTCACGAGTACTCGACCCCAACATAACTCGTCGAGCCCTAGCGAGTTAAGAAATCACTGCAAGCAGAATGTAGGCTCAACCTTTTGGAAATCACCAGGTACTCTTTTAATGCTAGAACGTTATCAAGGGATAAAGATTCTTGAGGAAAGGGAGATTGCTTCTCCTATTGCTACCCAGCCATGTCCGGAGCAAATTCTCAGTTTCAGTTATTTATATTATTAAAATTCAATTGCAATTGTTTAGGTTTGATTTTGTTCAATTAGAAATGCAGGAGTTCAATAATTTGCTGTGATAAATAATTTAACATGATCATTGGATTATTTTTTAAAATTTCTTAATAAACTATATTAAAAATAATTTTTAAAAACTAACCAACATACTTTTAAAAACAACCTTAAAAAAAAAAAACAATCAAGTGGAGTCCATTTATCTATGTCCAGGACTGATGATCTCAAAGACCGATAAACGATATCTATTTCATGAAATTGATTGTTTTGGTTAAGCCACGTTCTAAGAGAAAACAAGGAAGAAATAAAATCAAAACCAAAATTTAGTTTTTTTTTATAAATAAAATAATTAAAAAAATGACTGCTAACACATGATGAATTTCTCTTAAAAAAAAAGAGAGAGAGAGAGAGAATTTTTTGTATTACTAAAAAGATGACACCCCGGGAGCATGCACCTCGTGATTAACAGCTCCACCCGAATGCGAGTGCTGTGGATTTGTTGGGCCATTAAAGCTTTTAATAGCCCAAATCAATGATCTCTCGTCTAGTGAAAGGATGGGCCGTAAGAGCCCAAGCTTGAATGGATACGAGCTCCGTTCAGTCCCTTGATGCCCAAGTGATCTTCCCGTCTCGTCATGGTTTTGGACACGTGTCTTTTGTGAGCTTTGTCTTGAGCTCTGGAACATGGGCCATGTGGTCAGAAGTGTAATATACCCGAACCCATCGAAATAACGTCAAAACGCAATTGCATAAATCATTAAAATGTTTAGCACTGAAAGCGTAATAAGAAAACGATAAGAAAATCCGAGTCTGCGCAGACATGTATAAACATGCATGGAATGTCTACAAGTCTCCCCTTTGATGCATGCAAGAATAAAACATTATAATTATAAAAAGATTTGGAGAAAATAAAGCAACCTGCAACCTGTTGTTTTAGCAGTTTATGCTTTGTGTGCGTGTGTATTATACTTCAATTCTTACGTGTTGAGATACAAAAGACAAAGATGGGTCATATTTTGATCATTAAAAATATTAATTTTTGTATTAGTGGATCTTTTTTTTTTTTTATTTAAAAATTAATATGAATATTTGGATCAACTTACACATATCATGATTAATCTATCCCTGTTCATTAAAGTTGATGTTGCCCTTTAGTTATATACAACAAAAAATAAATTAAGGTACATAAAGGTTTTTTTATTTTTTTAGAGTGACTAAAGGATGTTTTATAATTAAAAATTAATTTATTAATATTTTTATAGTGTTTTTTAGGTTAAAACAAGTTAAAAAATAAAAAAAAGGTTTTGAATGTACAAAATCTCAAACTCGAAATTTAATGAGAAAAAAAAATACGCAAAAAGGTTTTGAAAGTCCTAGAAAGCGTTATTGTTATTATTTCATCATGATACCCAAGAATATGTTCGTAAACCACGGTGCTAAGAGAATAATTAATGTAATTCTCCTTGAAATAAAATTTAAAGAAAAAAATAGATATAAATAGACCAGAGAAATCCTAAATGAAGCTATTCTAAACGTTTCATATTTTTTTTCTTTTTTTATTCCTTGTATATGTTTTTTTCTTCAAAATTAACTTAAAAATGAATTAATATTACCGGTTAAATAATATTAATAAAATAAGATTTACACGTTGAAGATCTGCGCCAAGATTTCATCTGCTGAAAGTGAAAAAGGGATGCTCCAGATCCAAATATGACAATCCAACATGTTCCGTAGGCAATGACCAAAGGAACCAACAAGCCAACTCTACTTTTACAAGCATGCTCAAGTAACTAAACCGCCACATTAGTCCCAATGCCATCGAGCTACTCCTCTCTCTCGAGCAAATTGGAAAAACAAAAGATGGAGCTCCTTCCTGTACTTCTCGCAGCTTCGTATATTTTACTTGTTAGCTTTTCTCAATCTTCTTCAATGTGTCAAGGTATGTTACGTTGCCAAATGAGTAATTCTGTATTATGACAGCTTTCGAGTAGAAGCTAAGACATTATTCTAACAAATTCAATCTCCTTCCCCTCGTTGTAGGCAAAACTCTCCCCTACATGACTCCAGATGTCACACAGATCTCTGGAAGGTCATTCGATTACATAATAGTAGGGGGAGGCACCGCTGGTTGCCCCCTGGCAGCAACACTTTCAGAGAGATATTCTGTGCTCTTGGTCGAACGAGGAAGCTCACCATATGAAAATCCTTTTGTATTGGACAAAAGGTTCTTTGGTTTCCCGTTGTTCCAAACCAATGGATTCTCATCAATTTCTCAAAGTTTTATCTCCAAGGACGGCGTTTCCAACAGCAGAGGACGAGTTCTCGGAGGATCATCAGCAATAAATGGTGATGCTTTTGTTAGAAGAGCTGGATGGGACGAAGAATTGGTCAAGGAATCTTATAAATGGGTGGAGTCTAAAATGGTTTTTAAACCTGAGTTGACCTAATGGCAATCTGCTGTCAAATTTGGCCTTCTTGAAGCAGGAATTCTACCTTATAATGGGTTCAGCTTGGAGCATGTAGAGGGCACAAATATGCGAGGGACAGTGTTTGATCAGGGACAGTGTTTGATCACGATGGGAGAAGGCACACCTCTGCTGATCTTTTAGGGACAGGGAACCCAGATAATATCGTAGTTCTTCTGAAAGCAACTGTGAAGAATATCATCTTCCATAAAAAAGGCAAGCAAAGATATCTCTAGTTGCTGATTTTAGCAAACTTCAACAGCTATGAACAAACAAAACTCAAATGACCTCCTATCCGTATATTTGCTTGGACAGTCAATCTATTGGTGCTAGTTAATTCCTTTCATACTACGCAGGTACTGAAAATGAGACAACAGTTCACGGTATTAGGTTCATCAAGAGCGATGGCAACGTAAGTCAAACTTATGAAGCTTATCTGAAGCAGCTAGAGAATTCAGGTTCATGGGGTGATGTTATTCTGTCAGCAGGAGCATTAGGGAGTCCCCAGATCCTATTGTTGAGTGGCACCGGACCAAAAAGACATCTGAAGGACTTTGGTTGTGCTAGACTTTCCAGAGATTGGACAAGAGATGATAGACAACCCGTCCATATCCGTTTTGTTAGAGTCAGACGCCGAAGTTCAGTTACCAGATCCACCTCAAATCGTGGGCATAGCAGATGACTTCAAATTCATAGTTCAGGGATTTATCCTACCAATAAGTATCAATGCAACAAGTATACCAATTGGAATCAAGCTTGCATTTCCAGCGTCCACAGGGAAGCTGGAATTGAACACCACTGACCCTAGGCAAAACCCTTTAGTTGAATTCAACTATCTCGCCGAGGAGAAGGACTTGAAGGAATGTATCAAGATGGTTCAGTTGGTTGAGAGAGTGGCAAGGTCCAAATCCATTGCTGGGTTCCTGGGGAAGGAACACTACAGTAATTCGAAGTCTCCTCATGAACTGAGAGAGTTCTGCAAGAAGAATGTTAGGACTTTCTATCATTACCATGGTGGGTGCGCTGTTGGATCGGTGGTTGACAATGACTACAGAGTACATGGGGTAACGGAATTGAGAGTAGTAGATGGATTGACTTTCTTGGAATCACCGGGAACGAACCCTATGGCTACGCTGTTGATGCTAGGAAGGTATCAAGGGATCGAGATTCTCGCGGAAAACAACCTTCATGAACCATCCACATCCAACCACAACCACATCCACATAGAATAATTAAGCTAATAATCCAAATTAGAGTAAACAAGCTACAGGAATTAAGCTAATTCATAGATCACCCTACCTTGTCTTACATTCTCATTTCTCAAAGCAGTTTCTTTCTATAACAAGTCTCACATATCTTCGTTTACAAAGTCATTCCATATTTTGCACACAAGAACATAACATTTTTCCCCTTTGAAGATTTTTTCAGAAAAAAAGTCAGTGGAATAAAAGAAATGGTTAGGGAAGGTAATCAGTTGGTTGAATCTAAAATGTTTTTTATTCCTCAGTTAATTAGATGGCAACTGGATGTCAAACATGGCCTTCTTGGAGTAGGGGTGCTACCTTATAACGGGTTCAGCTAGAAACATTTAGAAGGAACAAAGATTAATGGGACAATGTTTGATGAACGTCGAAAAATCACACCTCAGCTGATCTTATTTAGACGAGGAATCTAGACGATGTCAGTTTTTTTGTAAATGAAACAGTAAAGAATATCATCTTCCATGACAGTAGTTATCTAAGACACACCAATAATTAGTTGTTTCAAGAGGTTAAAGGCTTGAGCAATCTTTATCGCAAATTTTATTGCTAAGATAATCATCTCTCCTTCATTCTCGCAAGTTCTCTTCAAATGATGCAGGATAAAGAAAACGAGAGCATAATGGGTACAGAAAGGACTGGTGGCAGCAAAACTCTAACTTATGAAGCTTAATCCCCAAGTCCTATTGTTAAGTGTTACGTTTGGAAGTGGTGGACAAGAGATATTGCCAATTTTGATCAAGCTTGCATTTCCAGAATTGCAGGGGAAGCAAGATTTTGAACACCAAAGACCCTACGCAAAAATCCTTCAGTGGAATTCAGGTATCTAGCTGATAGTTAAATTGGTTAATAGATTAGCAAGATCCGAGTCTTTTTCTCTGTTGATGGAGAGTGAACTTAGAAAACAGTTGGGCCTCCAATCCTGACAACCAGCAAAAGCTCCGCATGATGAACGCGAGCGCCTTCACCACTATCATGTTGGTTGCTATAGTAGCTGACACATGACAAGGCTTACAAAGTGTATGGAGTAAGGAGATTGAATGTAATAGATGGTTCTTCTCGGAATTACCAGACGCAAATCAATGGCTACCCTTTTAATGTTAGGCAAGTGTCAAGCCATCAAAGATTATACGACAAAGGGAGAAAGCCTCTGTTCTCTGTAGTCAATAAGACACCATTGAACATTCTCAATTTCAGCAATACTTTTCAGCACCAAAGTCGGACAGCTATCTGGAATTACAGTTGTTACAATCCTATGAAGTGAAGGAATTATCCATTGAAGTCCAATTCATGACTTTGCCGACCTTCTATTTACTCAATCTAAGCTCCTAAATTTATTTGGATTCAAGTTCAAATAGCCATTCATAACTAACCGTCTTCTTTTGCTATCTCAGAGCAGATTCCTTCCACAGCTTGAATTAGAATGGCTTCACTTATCAAGCTATTGAATATTATGACACATTATTGCTCAGGCACAACGGTAAAATTTGAAACAAAAATATATGCTTCCTTCATTGCTCAAATTGAAAACATAAAATACAACAACTTCTCTGTACATGTTATTTAGAAAGGTAAAAGGATTAAAAAAAATCTCACAAAAATTTCTCTTAACTCTCCGTTTCATGATCGGCACTTGGACTTGAAGTAGAGAAATCAGTAGAATCACTTGAAGGATTTTCATTTGAATCCCTATTTCTCCTATTACCATTAATTGCAAAACTAACCCAAATCTCTCTTTCAGCTCTCCTCCACTCTCTCCCTCCATCTCCCCCATCTCTCTTCTTCCCCAACTCCTCCTCATCGACAGGCATCTTATACCTGCAAACAGGGCAATTCCCATGAATCTTTAACCACTTTTCTACACAATTACCATGGAACCTATGCTTACAAGGCATCTCCTTCACTACCGCACCAGGCTCCCACTCCTCCAAACAGATAGCACACTCGCCATCTTTATTATCTTCCCCGATCTCCACACTTGGCATGGCCTCTATAGATGCTTTTGAGGCTGGTGGTTGGCCATTCTTGTTACCTATGTCTCTAAGTAAAGATTCAAGACTTGCAGCTCCTTCAATCACCACCATGCCCTGAGTGAGAGGGTTTATAAGGACGATTCTTTCGTTTGGGTCTGTTGTTTGTGGTTCTTGATCTGGGTCACGTTCCTCTGTGGAGTTAGTGGAGGTGAACCCGAAAATAAAAGGTAAAAACAAGGAGAGGTCTCTATGCCTTAAAAGCCTCTCAAACATAGAAGATAATTCAGCAGGTAATTCAGTCTCAGAGGCCATGAGGTACCACTACTGGTATTTTAGATTTGGAGAGAGGGAGAGAAGGTTTAGATTTTTAGTGAACTGTGAGAGATATAAACAAGATTCAAGTGATGGAGATTATAAGGGAAACAACGGCGTGCCCACAGGAAAACTAGAAGCTTGTGGAAAGATCTGGAACAAAAGACATGCCAGTAAGTGATGTTTATCTATTCTCCTCAACACCAGAAGACAGGGTCTCTTTCAAGGAAGACTTTAAACAAAGGAAGATATTTTTGGTTGTGCCACTTGTGGCGGTACCCAACAAGGCACAAGAATCAATTATTATTTCACTCGTTTTCCTTTCTGTGGTTAGGATGGCCCCATCTCTCTGTTTTCTATCGTAAGTTAATATTTGAACCTTGAAAGTCCAAGTTTTTAACTGTTCAAATCTAAGCAAAAGCTGTAAACTTTAGACACGAAACAACCGTCTTCACCCACAAGAACACCACGCTATGCGTATTACCGAAGCAAATAATTTTTTTCCTTTAATAACCTAAATTGCTTGCCCTCGAATTCATTGCTTGTGGAAAGAATAGGAAAAGTTTAATCAACGAAGAGGACAGGAACCTTTTGGCCGAATGGAGTATCTGTTAACATCTAGAAGTGAAATTGGAATCTTCCAGAAATCCTCTCTCAGGTTTGTTAATTTGGTCAGAGCAGGATTTTGTTGGATGATGCAGGCAGATCCATTTTTTAATGCCCAGATTGAGAGTTTTGGTGGTTTGACAACTCTAAAAAAAAGACACCAATTAGTACCTTTTTTTATTGATTTAATCAAATAGTTTTTAATCCCAGCATAAATGAATCCCTACGCGGGAGTCCACCTAGACGAAATGATGCTCGAGGTTTGCGTTGTTAATTAGCTGCCTTCCCACTATGGGACTCTCAGCAACTGCTTGTTAAAATCCCTGAACGAAATCTGCCGAGAATTTATGGGATTTGTTTTAGCAAGAAATTGTCTTAGTTTTTCATTATTTTTATTTTAAGATTTCTACAGGTGCTCTGGTAACGTAATTTATTCCTTCTGCAATTTTGGGTCATCTGGTTTCATCTTTCAACAACTCCACGGTGTGATGGCTGGTAGGAGTGTTCCTTCCGCACTCCCGTTCAAAACTTGTGATGTCTTTGGAAGCCCTTTAAAACCTCTTAATTTCCTTCCCATACAAAATAGAAGTAAGTACAACCAGCACATTCAATTCAAGTAAGCTAAACCCTTTTAACTGGTTTAGTTTAGCATTTCTGGTTTGATGTACATCCCCTATCAATTTTATTCCAGATTTTCAAACAAAGACATTGGTGGCGAAAAGAAGAGCAAATACTCGAACAGAAAGTGCGAAAATCAGAAATAGAAGAACACTAAAGAAGGTATGCTTTATCAAAAACTGCAAAAAGAAAAAAAAAAAAAGTTTTGCCATTCGATGCTTGGCTATTTGTGAAATCTGAATGGCTGTGTATGCTTGGAAAGCATGTTATTTCTAGGTGATCACTTTAAGTACATTCGCGGATCAGATATATTGAGAAAGGAGGTGATGTTTCCAATTGACATGCATTTTGCTGATTAAAATCACTGCTATGTGCTATCGAATAAAGGATAATTTCACTGTTATTAGGCTATCTGCTCCATGTGCAGAATGAAGAACATGGATGGTTTGTGAAGGATTTTCCAATCTTATGAATAGAATTTGTTTATGAATGTCTGGTAAATTCTATCAATTTCTGGTCAAAATAGTTTGAGCATCTTTTAAAACATAGATAGTGATTGAGATGATTTCTTGGTTGTAACTGTTTTCTTATCTTAATTTACAAATGTTTTCACCAGTTTAATGGCACGCGTACAAAACCAAGGCTGTCAGTTTTTTGTTCGACCAAACAGTTGTATGCTATGCTGGTAGATGACCAAAGCAAGAAGTGTTTATTTTACGGAAGCACTTTGCAGAAACCTTTACGCGGTGATCCCCCTCGTAGCACCATTGTAAGTATTCTATCATGATTAAAGAATTCTCGGGGAAAAAAAGCTGCTAGTATTTCATGGTTAAGAAATATATCTTTATTGATATCCACTGCTGATTTCGAAATGCATCAAATAGTATGTGCTTGTCCATTGGCATTCTTCCTCTTCGACTTTCTGTTTTCATTGCTTCCGATTATTGTTTTGCAGGAAGCTGCTGAATGTCTTGGCGAAGAGCTTATTAAGGCCTGTATGGATCTTAAGATAAATGAAATATCTTCTTATGATCGCAATGGTTTTGCCGGCGGAGAGAGAATGCAAGCTTTTGAGATTGCAATTTCTCGTCATGGATTCTTACCAAGATAGATATGGCCCTAATTATTCTCTTGTCAAACGAACGTAATAACTCCTCTGCATCTATATAAACTGGGACTTCGTATGAGAAGATGGTGGTGTTTTTTCTTCTTCTTCTTTTTTTCCATCCATGAAGAAATTGAGACTGTTTTTTTTATACCAAAACAATCCTTTCACTAACATGGGCTCATTAGTGCTATAGAAGGGTCAGTATAAAAAGTGAGGCCGGGTCCTAGTACAGTGCTCTGTCTTCCGTCACTCCAGTTCATTCTGGTCTCCTACATGTATTTAGGTCAAGGGATTTTTTTGTATGTCGTGTATATTTGGGAACGGTGTGAAAGTCAATGGCAGCCATTCGGTCGTCGGAGGCAGTTACTAACCGTTTGACGATTTTAGAACTTGAATTTCTTATAACTGGTAATGGTTTGTAGTTTTTATTTATTTGAAATTATATTTAAATAATGTTTCTTTATTTTTTTAAAATTTATTTTTAATATTACCATACGTATAAAAATATATAAAAATCAAAATCAAAATTTCTTTTTGTTACTACAAAAACAAAATCAGTCCCCGTCAAACTCACATGAAAACTCAAACCCATCAATTTTGATCGATCTCGCAGCAAGAACTCGCTCCAGTCTAGACCCGTTATTTTTTTTACTTATCTCTTTTGTTTTCCTCGCTTACTTCGGATACCATTGTTGTCAACGTCCAGCGAAAATGGAGCAAACTCCAGGAGAAGAAATTGGAATCAGAATCTACACTGCATCCCCTCATAATGAACCAAAAGCAACAAAAATCTCCGCTGGATCCCCACAAAATGATGAACGAAGAGCACCAAAGCCATTATGCAACCTCACCAAAGCCCCTAAAGAACCAGGTAACAAAAGGAGAGCCGTGGCTAAAGGAATGCAAAAAACAATCTCCAAAACATCACTGCTTATCAACTTCCTTCCTACAGGCACCCTTTTGACTTTTGAAATGCTTCTCCCATCAATATCCAGGAATGGAGTGTGCACTCCTGTTACTGCCCTAATGATACATGTCCTACTTGGCCTTTGCTCTGTTTCCTGCTTTTTGTTTCATTTCACCGACAGTTTTAAAGGCCCGGATGATAAAATTTACTATGGTTTTGTTACTACAAAAGGGTTGGCTGTGTTTAAGCCTGGTCTTACCGTTGATGTGCCTAAAGATGAGAGGTACAAGATTGGGTTTACCGATTTTGTTCATGCAATGATGTCGGTGATGGTCTTCATGGCAATCGCGTTGTCAGATCATAGAGTGACTGATTGCTTGTTTCCTAGGCATGTCAAGGAGATGGATGAAGTGATGGAGAGCTTTCCTCTCATGGTTGGTGTAATTTGCAGTGGCCTGTTCTTGGTGTTCCCTACAAGTCGACATGGCATCGGATGCATGGCTAATTGATTATTAGTGTGTTTTTGCTAATATTATTTTAGAGTGATTTTTTATTGAATGTTTTCGGTCCTGGCCTAGCAGTACCGATAGATCAGGGTTTGTTAAAACTTTGTTGTTTAATATTGACTTGGGAATAATTGTATTTGTTAGTTTCTACTATCAAGTAATGATTCCATTTTTTTTTCTTCGTATAATCGTGAGATTCTACTGTGTTTTTCCCTTCTTTTCAAGTGCGTCCACAGTTCTGTATTCGATACACAAACAGAAATGGGCGAGCATTGGCTTCAACGGGCGAGATGCAGTAAATTTCAAAGGGATAAAAAATCGAAAGAAAGAACATGCAAGGGCAAAATGCCTATTACCTATATTATGACGAGAAGAATTTCTACAAACTTGTTACGAGATAGAACTCTCTATCCATACAAGGCACTAATTTTTCCAATGTACAAGGCACCTGGTCACTAAATATAACAACTCGAAGTGTAATAATTGTACAGTGGTATTTTGTGAAAGCCCTTGGAGCCAGCGACTCCTCTCTGATGAGACTATTTACTCAATATGGTAAGCAAAATTTTCAATTGGAGATTGGTTAAGGAGATTATTCTATTAAAGCATGTGGTTTTGTAAAGCCCTAGTAACAAAAATGGCAAGTCTATCGTTCACCCACAGCATCTAGCACCATTTCCTTCTTGAAGTTTCTGCCATAGACAAAGCATTTCCCTAGGACCTTGGTAGTGGGCAACAACATAGCCATCCTTGCACCCTTCATTATAGACCCTCGCTTCCATCTCATATTTAACTTCCAAACCCTCCCTTTTCATTTCCGCAATCCAGATACCCATTGCTACATCTTCTAGCTTAAACATCTGCCACATCAACCATCAACAATTTTCATTCTGAGAAATATAGAGTTGATCTGTTGGTAGTTTAGAAAAATAGACTGTCACGTTCTGACATAATACTAGACAGCAATCCGTTGACTGCTATCATTTCCATACCTTTAAACGGCCCTCTTTGTATCTCTTGTAAACCGCCTCGGCAATGTCTCGTGACACCACATAACCAGGACCATGTGCCCAAGGGGGGTATGTCTCTTCAGACCATTCCTTTTTTTAGCATATATGAAAAATCAGGATAAGGAAATAACAAAAGGAAAAAAGTAGTAGCTTTATGGCTTGGCATGTACATTACACCAGGTAGCTAAACCTGCATCTGAATTGAACCAACCTAAAATTTCAGGGTCCTGCTTGAAATCCTTGCAATAAATATACCAGATCTTCCGTATATGATGGGTATTAATTTGTGATGTCTGTGTTTAGGTGAATCTGCAAATAATCGCATTTATGACAAGTTCTGGATGATCAGCCAGATGTGGAACTAACATGACAACTGTGTACTACACTTGGAGCATTCAAGTTGAATAGTTTTTTGCTATGACACAGGATAAGCATGATCTCCCAAATTATTCCAAACTGGCAAAGATATATATATAAACATTTTAAGGAAAGCCGCAATCATTTGTGAGCCTTCTACATATAAATAGGGTCAAGAATGGGGATTTACCTCTGGGCTAATATACCACTTGCTTTCAGTGCTCCTATGAGGCCGCGAGTCTGAATTGATTAATCCATAGAGCAAGCCATGACTCACTTTGATCCTCTTTAAAGAAGCTAGCATTTCATCCACACGAACAAATGCATCATCATCAGTCTTTGTCACATATTTGGTTGATGCAACCTCCGTCTGTTAAAGAGATGAGGTCAACAAGGAAAAGGTCCAGTCATCCATGTATATCTAAAGAATAGACGAAAAGGTACCCCAAAGATGCAGATAGCTAAAGTTTTCCAGGTTATGAGGCTGTAGTAGTCAACAAAAGGCATCAGCTGCATGTCTCCATATGTCCGCGCTTCATTCCAGAGTTCCTCATTCACTATTTGACTTTTATGCTGCAGCACACACCTCAAATTTGTAAGTGGCCCAGCAAACAGATTTACATCATTATAACCATACACCTCAAACTTTTGGCTTCTTCCAACAGACAATGAAACACACAAAATTAGTTAACAAAACCTGTAATACAAATTCATGTTACCACTACCTAGACCTTCATCACAAATGGCTCAGATAGAAACTTAGGGCCTGCTACAAAAGGATTTGATCCTTTCATGGTGAGGTCAATGAATTCTGATTTCCGTGAAGTGCACAATCCTTAATTGGGAAAAAAATTTCTTTGTTGGTCAATATGCATCACTCCCATAAAAATTGCTGCATGACTTTAAGGACTTGAAATCAAGCTCACCAGACCAACAAAAAAGCGCACTGCAACTTCCCCTGATCGCACTGCAGCATACTGCATCCACGTTCTGCGAACAGCCATCCTGCGCTTAAAATTGTTTGCTGTAGAAAAAACACCAATAAAGAGATCCAATGATCTTTTTGGGGAGAGAGGAGCTGATTTGAGTACTTCTAGATCAATTGCATGCTCTGAATCCTCTGATGTAGGTAGACCACTACCCACAACTGAAATTAGCTTTACATCCCCAGAAATCCTAACTTCACTTACTAGCCATGGCTCCAAAGTCTGAAAAGACAACAAAGCAGCATGCAAATGAATTCAAAGAAACTGGGATGGTAACTAAATTCCAAAAGTAGCACAAGCATCAAAGTAAGGAAATCACTTCACGGTATGCAAAAGATGTTATATGCTTCCCATCAACAATCGTCTGGATGCCTTCCATTCCCACTCTAAGCGTTGCAACAGATAGCTGACCTTGCTTAAATGGAAAATATCTTCTTACTTTAGTTCCTTCCTGAAATGAAGACCTTCTTGAACCATCAGAATGCATGCCAGTCACCCGGGTATCATTTCTTCCCACCATCTTATTACATTGATCCAACTCATCCACTGGTATATAAAACTAATAGAGTTATCACCACATAATAGAGTTAATGACAATGCTACAAAAGTTATAGATGACAGAACCCAGATACCACATCACAAACTTTTAGTTCAATTCCTTAGAAAGCTTCATCTAGATACAATTTGATAACGTGACCAATGGGTTTAGTCGCCCACTTTAGCTTTCCAAGTTAAATATGGAAAGTTTCAGAAACCTCAGTGCACAATTTGATTGCTATTAAGTGGATGATGCAATATACAACAACAATTTTACAATGGACCTGAGGGCAAAATACATAAGGCAATAAAAGAACTAACAGATTGGGATACAGAAGCTGATCCTAACTGCTATTAATGGGATATTAAACTTAAATGAACACAAAATTAAACGGCAAGCATAAACATTAAATCTATGTTGAATTGAAAGAGAAAAAAATGCAGTAGATATTTGTACCTTTCTTAATTTTTTCAGGAGATGGAGAAGGACAACGCTCCTCTTCACCCCAGTCATGAGCCACAGTCCAGGTGTTTTGGACTATTACTGGATCCTCTGTAATCTTATCACCATGAAGCCTAACATTGTAATGTAAAATGATGGGTGGATCAGGCTCCCCAGGAAGTTCTTCCCCGGTTAAGTCAATCCGAAAATTGCCAAGAAGACCATCTGGAATGCCAATAATTGTGATGGAAGAACCCTGAGTCAGGCCACAAGGAAGCCACAATTTATAACCGCTATTATCATGCTCTGTGGCATTCATTATGTTAAGAAAATGAGGACATTGTTTCTCTTTGACTCTCCTATTTGAACTTTCATTTGTATAACCAAGTCTTTGCTCTTCGATGGAAGCCATTAGGCTGCTCCATGCATTTCCAGCTTCCTTAATAGCTTCTACTCCATTTGATAAAACCTGAGCATGATCAATCAAGTGTTTTAGTAGATTCCATGTCTGCAGAGATTTTTGCTCTTCATTGGAAATATTTCTCAGAGCAAACAGACTGGAGACAATGTTATCTGTAGAAAAAACTTGAGAAGAATTCTCTGGGTTTTGAACTGCAGGTTGGAGAGCATGATGCACCCATTCAAGAGGCTCACTTGCATTGGAGGGACTCAAAAAATAAATTTCTCCTATTCGATTTTTCAGGAGCCCATATCTAAGGACCACTAACATGAACAAGGATGCAAACAGAACACCACCGTACCTCTTCTTCATTCTGCTGTTCAAACAGGGATGTTGAAGTTCTTGAGACTGATCTCTCTTGTGATCGAGCTTAAAGGATCCAATATCCTACAATTTATGTTCTTCACGTGAATGAATCTCTAAGAAACTTGTGCAATGGAAGTCCAGGCCAAGGTGCTAATAAAGAGGAAAAGATCAATATATACAGGACAAACAGTTGACATCTTCTGATCTTCAGTCAGATAAAAACCAGAATCTGAGATATAAATGTAGAAGGATCATTTCATTTTCAAGGAGTTTTAGATCCTCTCATTCTCAGTCAGCTACCAGGTTGAACTAGCAACCAAGCCTCGCAAGCTCACAAACATGTACTTCAGTCCTGACAAACCACAGCTTAATCACTCTGGAACCAATGCCAAATTCACCACACAACTTCATTAAATGTTCCACAGAAGGCTGCCAAGCTGCAAGATCCCAAATTCATTAACTGTTGCCAAGCTGCGAGATTCCAAATTCATTAATCTGTTCACAAGTAGAAAATTTTGCTAAGAAAAAGCTCTAAACACTACCAAAATGTGCATGCAAGCGCCAAAAGATTGATTATAGCTAAAGGTTCCATGAATGATCAGATTATGCAAAAAAAATATAGAAATACCAAAATTAAGGAAAACAGGCTGTCCATCAGTGCTTAGGAAAATCAAGACTAGTTTTAAGGATAGACACACAAAGAAACTAGTTTTAATGGAAAACGGAGGAAACTTCACCACTCACGAAAATGATGTTTACAACAAAACTGGATGCAAGACCTTTCAGGGATGAGTTCCCTCGGAAAGCTTCAAAAGGCAATATCAAATAGATCACAAGCAAAAAGTGCATCCACCTTGAATCATTTCCAGATCAACACTCAAAACAAGAACCACAGTTTTCTTTCCACTTCAAAATACCCGAAACTCACCATCTCTTTCAGCGTTGATAAATTTCCAAGAGAAAAAAATGACTATCACAACATTTTTCAGGGACGCCCATCATACATACTGTACTGAAACATGAAACTAACGAACAAGTCCACACAGTCAATGCCTTCCCTAACCCGCTACTAGTGATCCAATAGAAGGGAGCATGTACTATCCTACTTCAGTGGCTCTATTATTATATCCCTTGATGACCAAAAAGAAATAAACAAGAAAAAGCTTGCTCCATTTAAAATTGTGTGGTGACTTCTTAACTTCTAGACCACCTGGTAGTGGCCAACAGATATAACTATGTAATACAGTTAAATCACTAACCATCGGAACTAATGACGTAGGGACCACTTCGGTTTTAATGTTTGATTATAAAACTAACACTACAAGTAACAATCTCACAAAATTTAATAAAAAATATTGAATTTGTCAAATCGCTTCAGGCTCGTTGATTTTGTCCCTTTACTAATTAAATTTAATTTTCTAAGAATTTTATACGAACTTGGCTCAAAATAATCAACGCGCAGTTCCTCCTTTTTTCTCCGTGAAATAATTGTCTTACTAAAACTGGCCACATTGGTCCTATCTCCTGTTTGTTTCCCGGGAAAATGCAAGAAAATAAAATCACGAATCTTAAAAAAAGAAAAAACACCAGTTAGTACAAATTAAGACATGCAGCCTGCCAGCTTGCTTTGTACGAAGAGACTTTTCAAAATCCAAACAAAGAATCAAATTCCTCACCGGCTGCTCAACTCTCTCGGAAACCAAGGAGAGCTTATACAAATGGAAAGTAAGACAGATCCAAGAAGAGTGAAGAAAATAAAAAATTAAAGCGAATTTGAGCAAATTAAATTGACAATGTAAAGAAACAAGCTTCGAAAGTGCAACGGTAACTGAACTATATAAGCTAAGAAAGACAACTAAAAGCTAACCTCTGTTTCTTTATTTATTTTATTTTATGTTGAATCTACGGACAGAGAGAGATTGCGTGGCGAGGAAGAGAAAACTGGAGAGAAATGAGGGTGGTTGTGTTTTGTTGTTGGATCTTTGTCGTTCGGAGCTCCAACTAGAGTATGCTTCAACGGTGGGAAAGGGAAAGAAAGGAAAAGGGAAAGGGAGATGATAAATTCTCTCCGTGTTGGTTGATTTTATACTGCATAGTCAACCATGGAAAGATACGAGAGAAATTATGTCCGGTTGTGCTTTATTTATTTTTTACTTAATTTAACATGAAGGCATCTTTTAAGTGTTTTCGCGCATAAAGAATGCAAATGAAAGGATGACAAATGTTATTTTTTTAAGTTTTTTTTTAATATTAAAATAATATATTTTAAATTATTTCTTTATATTAATTTTTTTTAATACATCACTCCATATGCGTATGGGTGGTTCAAACAGGGGCTCGAAGTTTGTTTGTTCCTAGGGTGATTGAATTAGTGATAGAAACTGTTATTTAAATTATTATTTTTATGAAGAATGTAAAAATAAAAGTTAAAAAATAATAATTTAAGAAATATAGATTGTTGATAATAAATTTGAAAAGCTTACAGATATAACTTCTCCAACCTTTCTGGCTTTGAGTTTTCAAATATGAAATTCTTTTTGAGTCAGCAGCTAGTTTTTAATTATATAACAGCTTAGTGGGTTTAGCTAAAAAGTCAACCCTAGTCTTGTTAGAAAGTTAAATTAAAACTAAGACACCACTTTAATAAAACAATGTTGATGACTGTACGTTGTTCATTTTACCGTGTTTATTTATTTATTTCATCATTGCATTTGGTATTTAAATCAATTTATGTGTTATGATTTGCTTTTATTTAAATTATATTGCAAGTTTTTTTTTTTAATTAATATGGATGTCTAGATCAATTTGTGCACATCACGACTAATTTCATCCTCCTGAAATTAAATATATTGCAAGTTTGAGGTCTTTAAAAGTGTTCTTTATGTGAATTAAGCATTACTATTTTCAGAACCTATCATTTTTATTTATTCATTTATTTTCATGTTGACACGTCGATGATATTAAGCTGGATACCCTGGATTGCAATTTATTAAAAAAAAAAAAACAGAGAGAATGGACTTGATGGCCATGGCTATCTTGCTGGTTTTGATGGGTGATCGACATGGCCTTTTTAACGTCATCTCATGATATAGGCCACCCCGCCCGTGGGACACGACACTGACTGGGGATTGATTTCATGAAACCGATAATGAGTTTCGTGGTTGAGAGATTACCTTTTCCATTGCCACGGATCTAAAGCTGAGGGGACTAGAAAGGAAATAAGAACAAAGCTCTCTTCTCTTGTATTGAAAAGAGGAGATGGAAAACTAGGCTTTCAGTTAACCAGGCTTGCTGGGACTTCTTATGAAACAAACACAGCGAACTACAAAACATAGAATATCCATCCATCAATTTAATGAATGCATTGAATAGAGTAGATTTTAGAAATTTCAATTGAGCCTCAGCAAGGAGGATCTTAGCTTCTAGACTTCCGGTATGTTTTTCCGATGGATACAGAAACTGACTGCCGATTATAGAGTGGGCTTTTGGCCCATGAAGTTGAAAGACGAGCTGGGTTTTCCCCTTTTCAAATCCTGATCAGAAACGAAACTGAATTTCCTTTTTCTTTCTTTCTTTCTTTTTCTTTCAGAAACTATTTTTTGCAAGGGTATAGAGGAAATCAATGCATTAACAAAGACTTGCAGAAGACATGTTATTACAGGATGCATAGCCAAGCTCATGCAATTTTATAGCCAGAGGCTCAATAGAGTAAGGAATACGGTCAGATAACCCACAAAGACTGCAGAATGTTTCTCCCCTAAGATAACAGCAGTCATCTAAAACTTAGGAAACTGGACCTTAGATGCACATCTTCTCTTTGGTAGCTCTGGACATTCTATGAATTCTGACCCAGAAATGTCTACACACATGAAAACCTGGTAGAGCTGGCTATTTCTGGATGCATCGATATTGCACTCTATGCCAGGAGTAAATCCAGTAGCATCTTTTATAGCTTCTTTTATGCTGTCCAAGTCGTAAAATTCATCGTCCGGTTTAATTCCTGCACCATATTTTGTAGAACAGCCCATTATTGTTAGAAACAATATCTAATTAAAGGCTTCCTTGATCAAGACTAGGGCAAGAAAAGTGAGTAATTGAGAGTACATAAATAGACACACCTGCATTATTAAGAGCTTGGAGAAGGTTTGCCTTTTCCTTCAGCTTAAGAGCTGCTTCAAAGTAACCGTGCTGGTCAATTTCTTCTGACTCAGCGCATGTCCCGTGTTTTTCCCATTCATGTGACCAAAACCTGAAGCCAGTGCTGCTGGGGCAGGACAGTGATGGCCAATCCTTTTGCAAACTGCTTGTCAAGTCTGAGATCTAAACAGATATCAACAACAACAAAAAAATAACGTTAACGATATAGCTTGTTTTGTTAACCATGTGTAATTATTTATATTAAAATGGCTTCAATTAATTGTCAACTTTTCTTCTTAAACTTTCAGTGCTTAAGATGTTTCCAATACAAAATACCTTCTCCTTTTCTTTTCTTGTACGTGGTTCATTGGTTATTATATCAGAAAATGGTTAGCATATCAAATTATCTTCCATGCGACCAGCTATGAAACCATATTTTTTTTTTTTCCCCAATAACCCAACCATCACCTAAAAGTATGGTTGTTTCCCATTCCTAAAGTCTCAGATTTCAGGGTGGGGTAGCTCTAATCTGTGCTTTTGGAGAACCCCCAAGCAAAAGAAAATTTGGTACGGCACCACCTGTACAGGTCAAAGTCCCCAAATATTAGAAAAAACAGGTGAAACGTCGTCTTTCCTAAGTTCCTGCCCTTCGGGATTAAGTAATTAATGGAAAAGTGACAAAGACCAGTGTCGGATTAGCAAGTACATTAATTGCCCATGCTTAGCCGAAAATACAGGAGAAACACTTTATTTTTTGAATTACAACGAAAGCAAATATTATATAGATTAGTAAATAGCAACTTTAAGTGCCTCTCTTTTTTTCTGACAGAGAACATGTTTAAGATTAGTTTGTAACAAGAGATGCAAATTAAAGTTCTGGAAATCAATCAAGTTGATATCTTCTCTGTGGATGATCAATGAAAATTGGAAAGAAAGAACTGGATCAGGGCCCGGCTAGGAGATATGAAGTAATATAAGGTGATGCGTGAGGGTATATATAGGCAGTTGTTTCTTGTGATAATATTTATGCGTGCCATGATCAGTTGATGGATCTTGTAGACTCATCATGTTTACTCTTCCTTAATTTCAACAACAGCAGCAAAATTAATTTACCTCGGATGAAGAAATAATTTATGTATTCTATCTCCAGTGATTCTTGTAACAGACATATATATTGTGAGCTTCAAGTTTGAGTATGTACCTGGTCTTCATCCAAAGCATTGTCCCGGTTACAGTTTTGTGGGTACGAGCCATCTTCATTCTGGGGCCAAAGTCCATGAATGCCGAAATCTGCATCCGGTTTTCCAGTCCTTGGATAGCAACAGCTATGTTTTGTGTCACAGTATGATCCTGGCCACTGCATGAACATGCATACAGATAATCAATCAGCATTCAGCAATTAGTTATAAAGATAAGAAAAATCTCAAAGGAAGGGAGATTAAGAGAATCGTTCGGAACGTATAATCATTAATATGTATCTAAGTACCTGGCTGGCTAGAGTATATATATATTAATGAAACAAAAGTGTACTCGTATATATATTAGCTAACCTGTTGAACGAAGTAGAAAAAATCAAAATCCTCAGCAATACAAAGAACTGAAAGGTATTGTAAAATCGCAAGCTTGATTAAGATTGAAAAGTTGAGTTTCATCTTCATTAATACAACTTCTAGACTTGGATTACTTAACGAACTCTTGTTTTAAAGATAGATTTTAGAATTCGAATGCAGTTTGGGGTTGAGTCCGGAAATGTATATTTATAGCCAGTTAACGGAATATGAGATAACGTCGTCAGAATATGCTCTATTAATTCAGCTCTTATTTTTATTTTATTTTTTTATTACATCTTCCAGCCCGTGCTTAACGTTCTTCCCACGTTAGTCATGTGTATTTGGCTTGCCTGTTCATATTTATTAATTTTCCTATTAATTGTTGATGCCGTTTTAGCCCCTAAATTGTGTGGTTAATTACTTCGATTCTCCACAATTAGCCTTTTGCAAGCAAGGGAGTCAATAAGAGAGAATATTCCTGATGGATTTTCTACTACATATATTTTTTAATTCACATAAAAATATGCCAGAATTTCTAGTTGATACATAAGCTCTTCTTCATAATTTAGTTCTTAGTTTAAACCGGCATCCATCCATAAATTGTGTATATCCATCCATGCATGATATATATATATATATATATATATATATATATCATGATGAGACACTTAAACTGATCTATGATTTAATTAATTTATATCCCTCTATATTTCAAATATTTGATTAATTTTATAAATTTGATGACATGTTTGGAATGGTATAATGTAATGTAATAAAATGTATAATATAATTAAAAATATATAATATAATATAATGGAAGGAAATGATTTAATACTTTTCTTTGTTTAGTAATTTAGTTGCAAAACCTTGGTAATGTAATGGAGATCATGGAATTTTTTTAATTTAATCCTTATATTTTTATTTTCATGTATAAATTGATCTTTATTTGTAAGTGTTTTTTTATTGTATTTCAGTAAAATTATAGTTTAGTTATTATGATGAAGAAATATATCATTAGATCCATATATTATAACTCTTAGATACCAACCATATAATGGTTCATTAGAAAGTTTTTTCTATATAATACTTATAATATATTATAATGAGTAATTGCAATTGCAATTGGCCATTACATTGCAATACT